GATGTAACAGCATAAATACGACACTTAAAGCAAGAAAATTTCGTTCTCAAGTAGAGGCAAGGATGATACTTTAAAGTGATACGTGTAAGTGGCTTTGTGAAATGTTTTTGCATAATGGTCAGGTGGACTCTCCAATATACATGTAGGCTACAAACCAGATTTTCACAAAACAAAGTTGGCCTAAATGCCCAAAACACATCCTACAAAGTATGACAAAAATTGATTTTTTTTTACTGTGGACACATGTCAAGTATTTACATGTATATGGGTCATTCTATAAATAGAGAGTCCAGTAGGAAAATCTCAGTTTTCAGATTTTTGAAGTGATTTTGGGGAAAATGCACATGCACACAGCTATTATTTTGTAGTGTGATTATGTCTCATAATCAGTTACTATAAATAGAAACATGCCTTCAAGATTGCTTTTGATTTTTTTTCCAAAGGCTAAAAAAGAGGTTGTAAACCTTTAATTTTGTGATAAAAAGCGGAACAAAGTTTATTAACTGCATGTGCACAGTATTTCCGAATGTCTGGTGCTATAAATATTATAATTTTCTGATTAGAAAGACTGAGAAAGATAGCTCCTCAATAAATAAATATATGTTGAAACAAGTTTGGTGCTACTTTCCTTTTAACCCTTGGCCTATCTTTGGTATCACAACGTAACATTTTGTGTCCCAGGTTGTTACGTGAGGAACAATGATATCATTTGGGCAATTAACAGCAATAAAACAATGTCTGTGAAGTTCATGTACGCATGATGCTAGGAGATCCCCATGTTTTGCGAATTCAGACAAAGCGCACTATCGACCAAGAAATGGAAATGTTCCAGTTCCTCATTCATAATCAGTCATCGATATTTATGGTTTCGTGTCTTTTGTACATGGGTGTGAAAGCTGAAGATGTTGTAGCGCGACATGACGCAGAGGGAAAATTGGCACGAAACACTCCCTGGACACCGGTAAGCCAACTGGCAATCCATGCCAACTGTTTACAGCTGCCATGTTTGTATCTTAGCCTGAGTGACGGAGGATTGTTTTGGGAACGTCACTTGTTACAGTGTTATTTATGTTGTAAGTATCATTCTGTACCTATCTCAGTAAAAGTTCTTTAATTCTTGTTCTCTTGCAGAGTATACATGAAATAAACCACTTGTGTCTGTAAAAAAAAGACGAACTTCTGCACGTTCAGTCTTCAAAACTTTAGACTTCAACTGGTGTGAATGTACATGTGACGGGACCATTCTCGTATTGTGATTACAGTGTGATAAACTTCTGCAAATTGCAAGCAGTCGACTTAAATAATTCCTCATTAAAAGAGGTTTTCATCTGCTAATTTGTGCTTCTTTGTGATTGTAGTGTAGCAAATCAGTGCAAAGGATTGAACGACTTCATAAACTATCGTATAAATCCATCGAATCCAACCAATAGTACACACCGTAACAGCGACGCTAGCCCGGCTACCAGCTCGTGTCACAGTGCTGTGTGATCAGTTGAAGTGATCCTTCGATCTGCTCCGTTCATTATCCACAAAAGCGACCCTAAAGTAATGTCACTTTAAGAGAGTTCACTAGTGACATAAGATTGATAATGTTGATTGCTTTTTATAGAGTTCAAACCTCTGTCTTTTGATCCTTTCTCAAGATGTATTTTAATTTTTTTGTTTGCGTTGTGGAGGTTTTGCCCTTACCCAACGTATATTACTCAGCACTGTATGCTCAGTGCCTGTCCAAGAGCAAAAAAAAACCTCATAAGCTTACTTGGGTGGGACTCGAACACACAACCTCCTGCTTACTAGTGCAGATGTCTTAACCACTCGACCACCAAACTTGCCGAGGTCGACTGGCCAGTCCGAGTCGAGTGAAGCAGCGGGTACTGTGAACTATTTTCAAGATGAGTTTTTTTTTTCTGCCGAACTTTTATAACACGTAACTTGTGACAAGAAATACTGACAAGGGAGGACAGTCCATTTATTGATGGGGTGGGCAATTATTCTTGTCCATCCGTGGGTTGGTATGTGTGTGGATGGTAATTAATTTAACTCTTTTCAACAAAGATATTATGATTTGAACCACGTCTAATTACATCATGAATTTGTGAAACAAGGTTTTTGTGTGAGTCGAAATGTCAATCATTGGTGGCTTCTGGTACATGTACCTCCCTATTTCATAATGGACCTTGCTGCCCAGTGAATGTACCTGCTCCTTGCTGCAGCAATACAGTTGCTGTACTTACTCAAACGTGGCGCCGCGGCCCTGAACGTGGTGCACTTAGATTTTTCCCCTAAATTTTTTATAAGTGAAATTTCATCCAAAATCCCAATATTCTCATAGTCCTGACAAAATTATTTTTGGTTAGGTTTTCCAAATTTTTGTCTGGAGTGCAAATTCAGCTCTTTTAGAATGCTCCCAAAATCTGAAAATGATTTCCTAACAAACTTGTGGATAGGGACCTGTATGTAGCATAGATATTAATAATTTATTAGAGTTCTTCAACTTTAAAGAATTTCTTTGATGTTTATGTGAGATTTTTTTCTAGCGAGTAACGTTGGGAAACACTCAGCTGAATCTTGCCCAATTTTTGGATGCCACCGTTTTTGAATTTCGGATGAACTTTCATGATACTAGAATTGTTTACAAAGGTCCAGTGGCATGTTTTATGAAGGTTGCAGTTCCTGCATTTTAACAAATGAATTTGAAATCCGTTGAACAAGAGGTTTGGCAAAATTGTAGGTCTATGAGGAAATTCAAGCAAAAGTCGAAGTTTGCCACGTAGTCCTGTTTTTGTATTAGTATTTATTTCAAACCTAGACTAGTTCACTATTTTTGACAAGTTTGTGTTAAATGCAGGAACTAAGAAGGATTTTTCTCTATCCTTACTCCAACGGAACAAACGTTTTTCATTATGTATAGAAAGCCTTTGAAGTTTGTGAAACATACTGAAATTTGCAAACACACGTTGAAATAAGAATTGGATTTAAATATTCCCCCATCTTCATTGGAAAATATCCATGTACACAGCAAGACTGCCAAAATGGTGTACACTGTACTCATACTCGCTAAAACTCTACTTGATCCATCAGGTGCTGCAGCATATTATTTCCAACTTAAAAGGTTGTGCTAGGAGTGTTACAATTTATAAGTTCTTTTTTTCAAGTGTATGTTTAAAAAAGCCTTAAGTAATAATTTGAATTATGCTTTGTTGGATATAATTTCATAAAGTTAGATGCATGTACACTGCTGTTCCGAGTGCTATCACTTTTATTGTGGCATGTATTAAAATCAGTAGAAATATTAGTAATAAAGGAAGTTTGTGGTGCAGAAAGCTTTGCAGTCATGATAAATACACTTTAGAGAAGTGCTTCTGGTGAAACAGTTCACCCACATATGTACATTACATTTTTTTTGTTCATAAGTCCCATGGTACATGTATGGTGGCAGATTAGAATGACCATTTGACTCAGCAAGTGTTTCACCTCTGGTGAATAATCCTCACCAGAGCTAACCAAGGAGATGATGCAGTGTCTGCTTCTATTATGAAACTGTTTAGCAGGGAATGATACAATGCCTACCAGTACATATGTACATATTGTGTAAAACTGGTGATTGACAAGCACAGGGTCTCAAACATTCAACGTGTAACTGGGACACCGTGTCTCTGTTACATGGGAAACCATACATTCATTGGCCTGATACAATACTTTTTTTGCACTGGATGGGTGATTTTCAACAATTAAGTGTCTGAGTTGACTTTAGTGTTTTACTTTTTCTTGACTTTACCTTTGTTCAAGACTGACTGAAACAACCAAACAATTGTGAGAGTATGCACTCTGAAACTTTGCCTGAGTTGAGAATCCTGTTCCAGTGACATCCCATAGATCTTTCCCAGTCTGGCACTTGGGTCACTTATGTTCATTTTTCTACATTGCCAGGTTTTTTTACTTGATACCTACGTGCTCTGGTTTGATGTATACCATTTTATGTTTGGGGATATTAATAAATTAGTGGGAAAGTTGTTTGGTGTCCCAGTTACATGTGAAATTTGATGTTTCTATTTTGGGGGGCCCTGCAACTTGCCAAGTAACATAACTTCTTGCATGATTTTTGTGTTTCTTTCAATTCAGATGTTTGGCAACACAAGTAATTGTGCTGGAATTGAATTAAGTTATTTTGAAATTTTGACTTTTATATTCCACTTTGGACCCCTTATTTACAGAAAAACCCATATGAAATGATTCTAAATACATTTTCCATTGACAAGTTATGTTATCAATTATAGCTTGTTCTTCACATTAATCACTGACAGGTGATGCAATATCAGTTAGAAATTCACTCAATTTTGATGCTCTATCGGTTGGTGATATAGTATCAATTTGGAATACATTATTGGTTGGTGACGCTTATCCTTAACGTACTACATTATTAGTTGTAACAGGGGATCCAAATCAGACCCTGATGCCCCTCATGTTTTCACCTGCAGTTGATCCCCTTTCAATCTTTCTTGCACTAGTTGTAGGATGAGAATCAGATCATCATTTGATGCCCCTTAACCCTAACAGTACCGGGCGTTGTTTGGCTTAAATTACTCAGTACTACAAAATACTATGTAACACTCTGAGCCTGAAGGACCTAGTGCTACAAATTACCATTTCTGGCTAGGTTTATTCCGTTGTTACTCATACAGAGAACAATGAAATTATGTATTCATAGTGCCACAGCACTGTATGGTACATTGCCTTTTCTACTGCATTTTATGGCTTCAGAGAATAACAATGTCATGTCCTCTAACAAGCGACAGGGCTGAATACTACATTTTACTACTAAGTAGTACTTTGTAGCATTCGGGACTGTTATGGTTAGGGATGCAGTACAAACAATGTGAAAGTGACACAGGGCCAACAGAAAATGTGGCCACATAATACCTCAGATTCAAGTTGAAACAAGGAATTAACATCAAGGAACACATTTACTGTTAAAACATATATATCCCTAAGTTTTGTACCTACTCTGTCTGTGTTTTGTATTGTCATCGCCTGCCCTGTTTTGATGGATACGAGATGAGTCACTTTTTTCTCCTTTTCAGGCACTGCCTCTCCAGCTTCCAGATCCGATGAGGTCAAACTGGGCTTTTGCATGTTGGTGGCAGCTGATGCTGAAACAAGGATTTCACACAGATTGTTCATTATATAAAAGCAGCTCAAGCAGTGGTGTAACAAGAGTGGAATTTCTAAGGCAGGGGCACCTGCGGGATGCATTTTATTTCAAACGGGGACCGAAAGCATGTGAACTGCAGACTGTTTACACCATTGATTTTGTATTTCAAATTTCAAAGGGGGAGGCATGGGAGGACGGTGCAACGGAACTATGCCACTGGGTTCAAGTAAGTTTCATGCTTTACAAAATACTTTGTGAATTGTACATAATTGTCATTAATTTTAATCCTGGTAAATGTAATAGTTTAAAATCTACAACCTGACATGAGTTACAGGGCTCGAAATTGGGCTAATCATCACAGGAGCAAGTACTTGCTCTCTAGACAGCTGAATTTGTTAGTTTATGAGAGCAAGTAGCTCCATACAATATAAAAGACATGTGTTCAAGAAAATAAGCAAAGACCCTGGTCCTTGCTATTGCATTTGTGCTTAGCAATGCAATGCCAACTGTCGGGCACCGGGCCTTTATAACATGCATAATACGCACACAGACGTAAAAGGGAGCTAACTGCAGCAACCGAGTGTTTTCGAAACGAGTGGATTAGGCTGAGCTTTTGGTTTGCTGGTTCCAGCCATTTTGGAGCAGTGTTCAAAACCATGTGTTCAAGCTATGATTGAAACCAGCGAAACTGAAGTCAAAGCCAACTCCACTCGTTTGGCTTGAATTTACACATAAGGGGTCAGTTTCCATACAATCATGTGTAAATTCCCGCCGTATTGATTCTGGCCGTATTGATAATGACACTGGCCGCAGGTATGCATGTGTACGTTCATGTGTGTGCATGCATCGCATGTGCGACTGTGGCATGCGCTCGGTGATAACAAATAATTGTATCATGTTATGGCTCCACAAGGCTGATCTGAAGTGAAGTCAAAAGGTTCAGGTATTTTTCACGACAAAAGTAGAAACAAACGGTAAAAATGTTCAGGTACATGTATTTTTCATTATAATAATGGAATCAAACAACTATAGGTACATGTACTTGCGCTTGTCTTAATGATTTACGGGCACATTTCTGAGACAAACAGGTGCATTTCAGCTACCTGTGACTGTTAATTTTGAGCTCTGAGTTAGAGTTAAGGAAAACATGAATGAATAAAAAATTGCCAGACAGCTTTTGCTTTTGCAAAGCCTTTAAGTTTTTCAAGAGGAAAATACATGTGCATCCTGTCCCTCCCCCTCCTCCCCTAAAATAAAACGCAACCCAAATGTAACATTCATATTCTTCTTAAGTATTACTCAGAAATCTTTGATTTGGTATCAAATTAAAGCTAGTGGTGTTCTCCACTTATGCCGAAAATTCATTTGAAGCTCAAATTGTGTCACGTTTCCTTCGTCAACTACATGTAAGTTTTGATAATTGTTTAGGGCTGTACCCTGAACGCCAGTGAGCTTTTGTGATGGAAACGAGATGTCTGATAGAACTATTTTGTTATTCAATGATCTAATGTAATAAAACTTGCAACAGCCATTTTCGAGCAGTGAAATTCATTGATTTCTGATTTTTCCTATTAAAAAAAGACATTCTAATGTGAAAACCGCAAAGTGAAACCAGCAATCAACTGAAGGCCAGCCAGATTCAAGAACTTAAAATCTGATTTACACTGTGATTTTCTTCTATCACGGAAATTCATTCTCTAAACCAAAACTCCAGTTGATATTTGAATAGTGTAGAAGTAGGGTTTAATTGTGTCGATAAAAATCAGTTTATCATATAAGATTATCTCTGCAATGCATCATTGGATTTAAATGAAGTCTTCAGGTTTGAAAGATAACATTCTAACTTTAGATTTGACAAAAGAACAACTTATTTCTGATGCTCATTTCAGGATACATGAATTTTACTTTGGGGGGCACGGTGTATTAAAAAATCTTGATTTGTTAATCCGTTAATCAAACGTTGAAAATTTGATGGAAATTGGATAAATTGTTATAATGATATTCCCTATTTTCTAATTTTTTTCTCCTCAACCTAAGTACTGCAAAATGCTGTCAAGTTCATCCTATATCATTATGCAATTAGTCCAAACAAAATTTACTACTTAAAAATGTTATATTTTTGAAAAGAGGGTCTGATTTCTTCAAAGCCAGGTGTACTACATTTAAGAAGACCTTTCCAGTGACACACTGTAATGCAATGGGGACCATTACATGTATAAGTTTTCGCCTGAAAACCTGTCCCTACTTCAGACGAAAATAGAGCAAATTTGCAGTGAATTTCTTTCCAGATGAACTTGCCGCACGAATATTTGATCTGACGTCAACATTTCATGTCAGTGTATGCTTTCACACTGAGTACATGTATACACAGAATACACGTGCCTACACTGTATACATGTATGTACGTGTATACCGTATGTTCAAGTACACATGCATGTACATGTGTGTAGGCCTACACCTAGTACTGTCTGTACTACATGTAGTACCATTAAGTGTGCCACACACAGTACACAAGTGGTTGACACACCACCTCACACATAAAATCCCCATTCACTAGAAGGCTCATACAGTGAAAAGTTCCATGTGAGGTATATGTACATCATTCAAAATACTTTCAAGATTGGAAAATCAGGCTTTAACATAAAACATATAAAAAACATATTAAAACATAATTTTAATATGTACATGTAGGTTATTGAAAAATAAACATCGCCACCTATGTCTCAAAAATCTCCTGGCCGACTGTTCATGTAAGGGGTCATCCAAGTTTTCAATATTTTCACACTAATACAGAGTACTTTTTTCAAGGCCCCCTCCTCTAAATTAGTATATTTCAACATTTTCTATTCGTATCCTAAAATATGTCTACAAATTCATTATTGGAAAGTGCCCATTATTAAGCATACAGATTATGCATTTGAAAACATTCATGCTTTACAAATAAAAAGGTCTAATATGAAAATTTTTTTTAGACACATTGATGATGAAGAAACTCATCAATGACGATCTCCTGCACATCTGTAGAACTGTGGGTAAAAATGGATAATGCGTTGGAAACACTGCACCACGATGTCAAAGGATATTATACATGTACTGCTGACGTATCACGCTGTATGCTCCCGCTCAGAGGCGGGGCTATGGGCTTCACGTACATGATTGTACACGTTCACACGCCCGCCCGCCCGCAGTGCATCATATCAACACAGTATGTACCATATGAGGCGCCCTTTATGACTTTATGAGAAAAAACTTCAAGCAAAAATAATCTATATTGATGAAACTAATATAGGATAAAAGTGGAATAAATCTACAATGAAACAAATATATGAAGGACAAAAGAAGTACATTGGACAAAACTAATTACATGAAGTACGAAACCTATCTACTGTATATACATATATGGGATAATATATTTTCAAAGGACAAAGGTGAATGCATAGAGGATGAAGCCAATATATAGATGAAAGTAATGTACAGTATATTGAACAAAACTAATAAATATGGGATGAAAGTAATAAATAGGACAAAGTGTTGCCACATCAACACCAGAATGGTTGTGATAATGAAGCAAAATGTAAAATACATAGAATGAAAACGTAAAATATAAGATAAAGCGCCATCTACCGACTATACTGGTTGTGCAATGCGTTTGCCATGCTCGACACAGAGGCTGAGTTCGGGAGGCTTGTTAGCTGTTTCAGCGAAACAGTTCTTGTTTTTGTTTAGCTGTTTTGGCAAGAGCTGGAACAGCTCGTTTTCATTAAAAAATTTTATGTTTTTTTTCTTTTTGGCTTTTTCGCAAGTTGCAAAAAGGCATTCTTTAGCTGTTTCGGCAACTTTGCCGAAACAGGTATTGTTTTTCTGATTTTTTTTTTTCCCTTTTTTTTTTCTTCTTCAACTCAATTCCTTCCACCAGTCGACTGGCAGTTTACTAAATCTGATCGACTTCAAGCTTGGCAGACCTTTGAGCTATCATTCAAGGACGGTCCTAGAAGAAATTCACAGTGATAACTGAAGTAGTTATTATTGATTTTTTAAGAATTAATTTTTCTCCATAGACTTTGTACACAGATTGCACACAGTTTTCGGACTGTCCTATATCAGGCTATGAGGGTGCTATTGCAGAATTAAGTTTACACTTGCCTGGGCTTTCAATTTTAAACAAACTGTCCTATATTGAACCATGGATGGCATTGTTGCACAACATAGGGTTTGTACACACATTGTCCGGCATAATGCGTGAGCAGTCCTCGACTTCGACCGAGAATTACTACCAGAACGAAAAAGAAATCAGACTAAATTTTCCCTTCCGTTCGATCGCAAATATACCCAAGTGTGCAAATATTAAATAATATTTAATAAGGTTTTTCCAGTTTAGACAAAAATCCTTCGACATGAAATTAAAGGAGCAGTTTTCCTACACACGTGTTTCTAGCCCATTGACTTTGTACACGTTTTCGAGCCACAATTTTGATAACTTTGCAGTGATCGTTCCCAAAGTGATAGCCAACAAAGACCCTAATGCAAGATTTATTGCAAAGGGATGACATCATGATGACATCATCACCTTATTTTATATTGATTTTTGAATATTAAATTTTTCCCCATAAGGTTTTGTACACGTTTTTCTACTTAACACAAGTGAACAAGTAGTCTTTAACTTCGGCGCAAGATTACTATAAGAACGAAGGAGAAATCGGGTACTTTACACTTTATTTTATTTGAAATATGCCTAAGAGTCCGAATATGAAGTAATATTTCATAAAAATTGTTCTGTTTAAGCGCAAATCACGTGATATGAACTTAAAGAAGCAGTGTTTCTGCAAACGAGTTTTTAGCCCATTGACTTTGTACACGTTTTTGAGCGACAATTTTGGTAGCCTTGCAATGTTTGATCGATGGCAAAATAATAGCTAACAAAGACCCTGATGCAAGATTTATAGCAAATGTATGACATAACGATGTCGTCATTGCCTTATTTTATATTCATTTTTGGAT